GGTTGTAATCGTTAGGCCGAAGGGCTGAAACGGAGGGATTCCATTGACTCATGGCATGCGCGTCTTCGAGCTTAGGCTTAGGTTCAGGGCGTCGCAGCCGAGCGTAACGATATTACGGCTCCTCGTCGTCTGGCGACGCTTTCCGTCGCGACGGATCGATGCCAAAGACGTTCGCCTGGGTCGCTCGAAAATGCGAGCTCGAAAATACGATGGGTTTACGCTCGACCAATCCAAGCTATCGAAGGATACTCGACCTCGCGCAGAGGTCCTCTGATCCTCATCTTTAAGGACCATACGAGCCTTTTCACTCTGCGAGAGGAAGGACCTCGTTCTTCATAGGGGAGACTTCAATCTAATAGAAGTTTGTGCTTCCTGTTTTTAGCCGAGAGTATTGGTTTCGTGAAGTTTCGGGTTATTAAGAGCTGGCAGGGTCTGTTGTTTCAGCATGCTGTGTTAATAAACTGGTTACTCTATTGATTTAGTGTTTCCACGGTAACGAAGGGCTATCCGTTCATTGATAGGGTATTCTATACTTTCCCTTTTGTGTTTAAGTGAATACACACCGATTTTGTGTAACCCAGCTAATTAATAAAGACTATTCTTCTCGAAAATCGAAGTTTTTATAAGAAGCTTTCTTAATGCTTTACATCAAAGATTCGTGGACAAAACAGTTTCCCTTTTCATAAGTCTGGACGTGTAAGGGTATGAATATATTAATAAATTTTAATATATAATATTAATAATGTTAATGAATTTTATTGAAATTATCCATGATTCATTATACATGATTATAATCTATTAATTAATACAGACTTTTGTGAAATAATTATCAAATATCTTGACTGATAATAATCGACAAAGAGTTATTAGGATCGGTTACTGCGATTAACATCCGGGAACCGGTTTTTCCAATTTACCCGAGGCTCAGAGATTGCCACGGATGATTAAGCAAAATTATCCAGTGTTTAATAAGCCAGCATCGGCCGTGTAAAATTAGCCCGTTAATTGGTACAACCTCAATGAAGCTAGGATCGTTCAATATTTTCCTTTAACCAACCTTAAACGTGTCTTACGAACGTTTACCGAGGGACTTAAATCTCTTAAGGATGCATAGGCTATATACTTAAACAATGCTAGCATAATGAATTTGTTATTATAGATTCCTATTAACAAATAAAATTGTTTATTGCAAAAACTTTATCTTCGCCCAAGCGAAAAGTGTTTCAGACAAAAGTCGTAGCTCCAGTTACCATCTACAAGGAAGATCCTACGTAATTTCCTTCCAACTTGATAAGAAATAATTGGGGATATACGAACTAATTCATCGATTAGTTCTGAAGTGTTCGAGATAGAAGAAAATTGTATACGACCTTTTTTTACACGTAATAGCAA